GACCGCGTTTTTTTGAAAGCGAACGACCATATAGGATCTGATGTTTTAACCTCTAGATTTTGAAACTATTATGGAGAACTGGAAAAGTGATCCGATTTTTTCAGTTCTCCCTAACACGGATAAGTTCACGGAAAACTGATACGATTTTTTTGTTGTGCTAGATTCAAATAGGAGGGCGGGGGAATGTTGAATGATATTCTTATGATTGACTTATCTTGGAGGCGTTCGAGTCTAGACGTTGACCTTCATGGTCAAAAGTAACAATATGGACCGATTCTATCCTAAAGGAGCAAAGCATAACAGACTGAAAAACATGTTGAACAGTTGTATTCCTGAGCTATCATTTATTATGGTATGGCAGGCCTAAGGGCTTGGTTCTTGAGTTTTTGTCTAATTTTTCAATCAAACTAATTCATAGATACTTAAGAGCAATTTTGCAATTTTATTTCCTTAAGAAATGGCTGGATGTGAGATCTCGTTTTTTTAATACTTGTTTTAAAAAATTGACATCAAATTTACCTCTAGAAAAAAACTCCGCTGTTACAAAATCCATACACTTATAAAGCCGGGAAACAGGAATATTGCTTTCATGGCAGAATAAGTTCTCAATAATTGGTATTTTTATTTGTACCAAGCACACGTAGCATTTTGTACCAAGCACAGGGTCGCCGAACAAAATAACCCTCTCGTGATCTTTTTGCCCACGGTCATTTTGCACCACTCGTTTCAAAAAAGCTTTTTCCATACGTTATTGCTGTTGCGCGGCATTTATGGGTTTGGTACTTCGATCAGTTCCAATTTGTAGTTGTTTCGTTTTTGTGTTTAAGGTAATACTCAACCGTGGCCTGATACCACCAGCATTTGTTTGTCTTTCGAAGATAAAGTAAAATGAAGAGACGCTTCAAAAATTACATCTGATCTGATAGAGTGGTATAACAATGATTAAAGAAATGAGCAGTATGATTTTTCATGAACTCACAGACGTCTTTTGTTGCCTTCAATTAGCACCATGTAGGTTATCTCTGTTTTAAACGCGTGAGCGAGGGATTATTTCTTTAACTAATTGAAATGCAATTATTTTTGAGATGCAAGAGGCATCAAGGGAATTAAGACTAGCTTTTCAGGCCTCAATTAGTACACTTAATTGGACTACTCCTCTTCTTATAAAAAGGACGTAATTTGAAACAAATTATCGTCATTAAAAGCGGGTTCAATTGCTGTGGGGTTATCTTGTTACGGAGTTATAATATAGGGGGTGTAAACATAGGGGCTGAAACATCGTGGGGTTAAAGAGTGGGACACCCATTTTTTATGCGCGTTTTAAACGAAGACAATTCTCCTCAGTTCAGTTAATTGGGAGAATTTAACGAGTCAAATTGTACTTGAGGAAAAAACAATTACAGTAATCTACTGTTCATCAAAGAGTTGCTCAATATCACGATGCAATTAGGCGAGGCTATCAACCAGCCGAGCAGCTTGGAAGCTCGAGTTACCTCTCTATCTGAAAATTTGAAGTTTGTAGATGCACCGTGTTTTGAAAATTTGGGAAACGAATCATGATTTTGCGAATCATGAATTCTTTATTGTGATAGCTGAATTTCTACCAAACTCTATATATTTTTTTCAATTTTAGAGAATTTGCTCTAATATCATGTTCTAGTGCTTCTGTTGCCTTAAAGTTTAATTTTAATTTAACTTCTAACAAAAAAGTTGGGATTTGTAGTGCACCAAGTGAATTATGCCTCTCCTAACCAAATCAATTTAGGAAAGGAATTGTCAGGCAAGACGATCAATCAGTCGAGCAGCTTAGACGCTCAATTTAACTCGTTATTTAAAAATTAGTTTCTACATGCATCGTATTTTATAAATTAAGTAAAAATTTTTGTTTTGAGCTAAATTTCCAACAAAGTCGTGTTTTTTTTTCAAATCAAAAGAAGATTCATTCAGAGCGCTTGTTCCGCACTAATATAAGTAAATCGTCTGGTAAATTTGTAAAGATTCAACTCTGATTAAAGGGTACTCCGTTTCCAATAATGAGCGTTGCAAAACTCATCCAGACTCATAACAGATGGATGCCAGCTGAACAAAAAAGGAGGAGCTCTTTCAATTTCTACAGATTATACATCAAGTTTTACTGAACGCCATAAATGATGAAGTGAGTCCATATGCCACTCAGAAATTTGATGGCTGGTGTTTGATTGATTTGTTTTCTTCATCGAGGATCAATGGAACTTTCAGTGTAGCCAATTTGTATTTGTAACAGGTGCTAAGAAAAAACAAAATTAATGGATGAACTCAAAATCAACGATTTAAAAAAAATTTTGACTCTATTATGTGCACTCAGTCTATTATGTTCACCAAATTGCTTGTTTTACACCTTCTTGGGAAATCCCTGAAGTAAGTTATAAAAAAAACCCGGGTTGATGTCTATACAAGAAAATGCTTATCATTCAATTTCATTTATGTAGTCTATGGAAAAAAAGTATTTCAATACAATTTTCATAGACGAAAATTGTATGAGAAGCATTCTTCAATCAATTTCTTAAAACTTAAATTTGATTAAAACTCAAACAGTAGAAATTAGTAGCAGTTTTGGTTACGTCAGAGCAACTTTGGCATAAAAAAAATCATTTTGAGGTAAAAAAAAAACGTTTATTCCTTTTTTGATTGCAAACTCGATTCTGTGCTCAAATGAAATTTTTACACAATTTTTTTTCTGGAATTTTTGTATCTATAACGTAGTCCACATAAATTTTTTCATGCAAAATCACAAGCAAGTGCTAAAATAAATCTCAGCAATAAAAAAATTTCAGCATGAGAAATGGCGCTCGATTTTAAAAAAGTTCAACTTGCCAAGAATGAAAATTTTGTTGTTGAAAAACAAAAAATGAAAATTTTGTTGTTGTGGATGAAATTTGTTTTTGAGATGGCCATCGATTTAAGAAATTTCAACGTGGCAGAAATGAAAAAAAAAAATTGTAGCTGACTCAATAGCCAGCTACAAAAACACAAACCAGGAGAATAGTACATAGAGGAGTCTTTCGATTCTTCGAAAGCTGAATTTAAGAGAGGGAAATACTTTTTGTTGCATCGACCTCGGCAGTTACAAAACTGATTGCGGATGTAGCAAGTGCACAATGATACTAAATATGAGTGCAAAAAAAAAACGTTTCATCAGTCAATGAAAGTTTCAAGAAAAAAAGAAGAAAACTTGTGCTCGGGGTGGTTTTTTCTCTAGACAAATTTCGACTTCTTAGCTAGAAATTTTTGACAGAATTTTTTTATATTAAGGTTTTGTTGCCTTAAACTCAAGACTAAAAAGATATTTCACCTGTGGTATTTTTTCATAAAGATTTGGGGTTTAAATATTGCCAATTTGGGACAATTAACGTGTAAGATATTTAATGTGTCTTCGAAACCGTTCCAAATTAGATTAAGGCATGCTCTTTGATCTACTTAAGCTTTTGCTATATGCAAAATATGTTACTTGGTACTTTTCGTTATGTGTGGGGGATGATTTTCAGAAAAAAAACGCTAAGTTTTATTTTAATTTTTTTCAAGTTCACCAATTATTTAAATTATTGTAATTAAAGCTACTCCATAAAAATTAAATTGCAGTTTTAATATTCAGGGCTTTGCTTTGATACGAGCAAACTTGTTGTTCCGACTTTCGATACGAAAGTAACGGAATATTGTGCTCGGGGTGGGTTTTTTTTCTTCAGACAAATTTCGACTTTTTAACTAGCCATTTTTGACGGAATTTTTTTATATCATTCAAAAGGCATTGTTGTCTTGAGCTTAACTTTGAAAAAATATTTCACCTGTGATCATTTTTTGTAAAGTTATGAGGGTTTAAAGATTGCCATTTTGGCCATTTTGACCAATTTGGGACAATTAACGCGCGATATAATTCGCGCTATTAACGCGTAAGCGGAGATTAAATCCGTCTTATAAATCGTTCCAAATTAGTTGAACGAAGCTTTTTTGCCATAATTGATGTGCTACAAGGAACGAAATCTATTGTTTTGTACTTCATATGGCGTGTGGGGGGATGATTTTCATTAAAAAAAATTCAAATTTTAGAAAAAAAATTCATTTTATTTTATTTCATATAATGTTTTTATGTTATTACTGCTGCTCCATAAACCTTCAAAGCAGTCGGAACATTCAGGGCTTCGCCCTGATACGAGCAGTCTTGTTTAGTTTTCTGGGCAGTTGGTTCTCGTCTAAAGTTTTTTTGGAGAGTCTATCCTCTTTTATTTTAAAATTAATTTGTTTGTGGGCGTACAGGATTTCTTCATGAAGATAATTGTTTCGACTTTTGGTACGAAAGTAACGGAATATTTGTGCTCGGGGTGGGTTTTTTTTTTCTTCAGACATATTTCGACTTTTTAACTAGCCATTTTTGACGGAATTTTTTTATATCAATCAAAAGGTATTGTTGTCCTGAGCTTAAATTTGAAAAGATATTTCACCTGTGATCATTTTTCGTAAAGTTTTGAGGGTTTAAAGATTGCCATTTTGGCCATTTCGGACAATTAACGCGCGATATAATTTGCGCTATTAACGCGAAAGCGGAGATTTAATCCGTCTCATAAATGTTCCAAATTGGTTGAACGAAGCTTATTTGCCATAATTGATTTGTTACAAGGAACGAAATCTCTCTTTTTGTACTTTATATGGCGTGTGGGGGGATGATTTTCATAAAAAATTTCAAATTAAAAAAAAAAAATTTCGTTTTATTTTATTTAATTTTTTAAATGTTATTACTGCTGCTCCATAAACCTTAAAGGCAGTCGGAACATTCAGGGCTTCGCCCTGATACGAGCAGTCTTGTTTTGTATGTTACCAAGTTTTTGTCGATGTTAATAGGAATGATCTACGAACAATATCGTTTTTACACAATCCAGGCAAGATATTGTAAGCGATGATTATAGCGGAAGTTAAAATTCAGAAAAATTGGGCGAATAGAATTTGGGCAACTAAGGTAAAACCCGAGAGAAAATCAAATGTTAAATTGTTATAGCACTGAATTAGTTTTTGCATTTTATTTCATTAATAGTTTCGGTTCATTAAGTGAGTTGAATTGGTCAGTTTTGCTCCCCGCTGATAGAAATTTACTTTGTTTCATTTGTAGTAAATCTTGGCATTGTTATCTTTTTCTGGAATTGGATGCTTTCTTTTTAGTAATATCCATGCATAAAATTCAGGCCACCTCGCTCGCACCGTTGGAAGCTGAAAAGGGTTTCTCTTTAAGCTCATGATTTTCTGCTGCTGTTGCTGCTGTCGCTGCTGTCGCTACTGTTTCTGGGGGGTCATCGAACTGGTGGATGCCCTGAATAAACATGGTGAAGTACAGTGCCACTGCCAGCAGTCCCCCACTGATTGGGCCCACAAAGTATATCCAGTGGTAGTCATGGAACTGCATCATGATGAGGGCGGGGGCGAAGGAGCGGGCGGGGTTGAGACTGCAGCCGGTAAAGGGAGCCATGAAGAACACACAGGCCAGAACCATGAAGCCAGCTGAGGTGGCCGGGAAGCCCTGCAAAAGCACAGATGAAACCACTTATCTGTTCAGTTTCACAACTGCTGCGAGTATCGGATAGCATTTCATACAAATCTAGCTTGAATAAATTTTTGAGAAACAACACCTCTTGTCGTTTATCATGAAAAAACCTCAATTTATTTGTGCACAGCGAAGAATCGTATTAAATATTAGGTTATGATGAGCAGGCTGGCCTATAGCTATAAGCCTTCAACTAAAAGGTTGAAGTTGGTTACAAATTGTAACACGAACTTTTTTCTGATTATGAAAAGTCTCGCGAACATATACTTGGAAAATAATTTCCCTTTTCTGACCTCAAAGTCCTTCTTTGGGTCTGGGTCTGAGATGACGAGTACTAGCAGCACTAGGATCATGGTCCCAATAATCTCCACCGCCAGACCCTGGAACATGTTGATCCCTGGCTTCAATAAGTTCATGCCCAGATGCGTGTCCTCCACCCACTGATGAGGTGCAACCCAGTACACCATGGCAGCCCCTGCTATCCCACCTACGCAAAAGAGAGCACATGACAAAAAAAACATACAGAAATGACAGAGTGGCGAAAAAAATTGTACACGAGGAGGACGTTGGTGACGGACCTACATACAGCTGGTTGGCGTGTCGAGGATGCATACAACTAATTTACATAAAACTGATTGAAACCAATTCTGGGACGTGATTTTCTCAAGAAATTAGGATACTGGATGACGCAGGAGCGCTATGACAGCAAGGACACGACGAAGGGTAAGATTATCGAAAGATCTTCGGATGAGTGCGAACTGAAAGTCATTTTAGCTAACAAATTTAAATGCTTTTTCACTGTTGAGAACAGCAAGTAACTTTCCAGTACGCTCAAATATTTACCGAAATTTTTATGGGAATCAGGCATATAAAAAAAGCCTACTAAAACCCGGATAATAAATTCGTATCTCCAGATGTTTTTAAGTTTATGCGGGATCAATATTTTTGTATCAAACTCTCATTATATTCTACTGTCCTAAGCAATCTATTCGCAAGAATAGCTACCAAAAGCCAAACATTGATACAACCAAAGATTGCATTGCTCAATAGACTACTCGGTCCGACAACAATTCACTGTGGTTCTCACTGGCGCTAATTATCAAAGAAAATCACTCCAATTTTGGCGCCAATATGTCTGCAACTGCAAAGTAAACAATTATTTTGGCGCCAAAACGTGTAAGCTGCAAATTTTCTCGCTCAAAATCTTAAAGTGTCACTTAAGATTGTAAACGATCGCCGTTAAATTTTTGATTCCCGCACTTAATATGTTGAAACTTGTTCAAACATTCGGCACCGTTGAACAAAGTTTTCATTTTCGGCACTGTTGTATTTCGGCACTGTTGTACTGCCCCCTCACAGATTTTATTGGATCCAGTGATCAAATTGTACAGCAGCTTCAATATTATAGAGGGAAGGGCCACAGGAACGTATCAGTCCCAGACGGGATACCATGAGCTGACTGACATGCCGGCTATATTTTTGCATACATAAGAGAAAATTCTTTCGGGATTACACGGTACGTACTGCTTGTTGGACAATATTTTTGTAATCACGAACTCTGATCTATAAATTCCGATGTTTGTGATAAGCTCCTTAAAAATCTCACAATTACAACTGGACTAAATTAAAACCAAGTTTCCTTTTTTTTCTCTAAAATTCCTGATTTCAAGGATGATTTGGACAACATGGACTGGGAAATTAAGCAAAAGTTTTTACATAGACCAAAAAAAACTGATCAGAGATATCTTCTATGAAATTACTCATGTTTGGTTTTAAAAACTTGCCAGTTTTTCCCGGGTCTTAAAATGCCAGTTTTCAACATCTGGACTAAGTTTTTCAAACTGCGTGAAATTGTAAGAAAAACAGCTGAACTTAGCAAAATTGCCACACTGAAAAATTCAATAATATCGCTTAGATTGTTTCAAATCTCACGAACATCTTTTTCCTCTAAAAGCTAGTGCAGGTGGTGAAAAATGGCATCTTCGGACACAGAAAAACTGGAAAAATCTTTAAAACCAATATAAATGACTACATAGAGGGGAGCTATGATCATTTGCGTTTAGCCCATGTTAAAATATTTTAAATTTTCAGTAAATGTTGTCCAAAATCATCCTTTAAAACTGGCATTTTAGAAAGAAAAACCTGAATTTGCTCTTAGTTTTGAACACTAGTGTACATTTGTGTAATGTAGATAATCGACCAAATAAACTTTTAACAGTTTTTCAAAGATGGCTAGAGTTGGTCAAACAGCAACATATTCAAATCAACGATATTTTATATGAAAAAAGCATGACAAGCAATTTTTCTATACTATGAACTTGCACGATAAGCATTTTTCCATACTATGAAATTGTATGACAAGCATTTTTTTTATTAATGAAAGTACAAAAAGTTTTGTTTCGAAATTTGTATTTCATCCGAAACACTAACCAAGGGTTTTTTGTCTTAAGAAAACCCAGAGTGTAACTGGCAGTTACCACGCAGATAAGCTGCATTTGGTGATTTTAGACATGAAAGTTAATTTTAACATTTTCACTTGGAAGCATATACGAAAAGTAAAACTTTTTGTATATGGCTACTTAATTTTTAGTTTGATTGGTTTTTTTAATGACCAGAAAGCTTCAAAAGAGGCAATTAGACCAAAAATGTTCATTAAAAGTTTTTCAAACACTTTAAGAAGTATTTTTTCCATAGACTTCATATATGAAACTGTATGATAAGCATTATATTCTATGGACGTCAACCCTTGTACATATCTTGCTATGTGCTAATTTTACTTTTTTTTCTGCTTGAATACAGACAAGTCTAATAGCGCCCTCCCAATCTATTTTCAGTCAATAACTTTGCTTGTTTTTGTTTAATTTTAATTACTACTTTATCAGATTGGAAGCAGTTTGTTATGATTATTGTTACCTACGAACTGGGTGGGGATGTAGAGAAGTCCCTTGATGAAGTGGCACCTCTTTGAAACCATCAGAGAAATGGTCACAGCCGGGTTAATATGACACCCCGAGGTGGGTCCAATGATGTGAATCAGAGTCATGATGATAGCTGCGAAGGTTAGCCCGGGCGCTATGAGATTGTCAATTTCGTCACCCATTGCCTGCTTGTTTTCGGCGCCGACGATGTTGAGCAACCCGACAAAAATCATGATGAAAGTTCCGAAAAACTCGGCAAAAACAGCACGCCAAAGTCGACGATCTTTCAGCGCCCACGGTATTTGCAGGAGATTATCAACCGCATGTTTTCTATGATAACCCATGGTTTTGAAGTTCTTTAACGATGAAACAGATTAAGATATTTTTTGTTGATAACTGATAAGTTATATCGGTTAAGTCAAACAAATTTTTGTACCAAGTCTCCTCAAAGTAAACAAAGAGTCGACGTATAAACGAGCCGAGTTAAATATCGATGACTTCTTGAACTTGTTCAGATTTGTGTTAATGTTTTCACGCTTTAGCTCAGAGGTCGGCCGTAAAATTCTTCTGAAAATATGAAGCAGAACTACGCTTTGAGCTGAAGTTTGTTACAATCTGTAATTTAAGAAGCAAACATGTTTGATCGTCCCGAATTGTATCAATAAATTATCATCAATACACACAAATTATCCAAAAAATGTGTTAAAAGTGGTATGATTTTTTACTATTAAAATTGACTGGCAGTTATTTAAAGGTTGGTGTACAGAACGCACGATCGTCAGTCATATGAACAATGGCACACCGCTTTGGCTTCGTATTGGTACAATAACTTGACCTGACAATTTAAGAGAAATCGCGGCTCAAGAGTTGTGCAACCAGCAAGTTCAATAAATTTATTCCAATTCGAAGGAAAGATTTCACATTATACCTCAATGCACACAAGCTGTGCATATTCTAATTCCAAGCAGTAAGACTGGGAATTGTTAGTTCAATTTATGCGGAAAACATGTATTCAAGCCGTTGTTCACGTGGTGGTAAAATCGGGTCTAGGACAACAAGCCGACGGGACTTCAAGCCGAAGGGACTTCAAGCCGAAATTAAAACTTTACAAGCACCCCAAAACGCTTTTTTATCATCTGCAAAATGTTGCCTTTCTAAAATTTTGGCAAGTTAAGTCCATAAAAAGCGTTATTCATGACAATGCGCCGCTTGTGATTCGCATCCGTTAATATAATCAGCCGGTTTTTGAAATGCATAAATTATAAACATGAAAAATGATTTCAACCATGTTTTACTTTTCAACTTTCCGGAACATCATTTGGAGGCTTAAATTATATGCAAACGCCAATAACTAGTGAAGAAAGATCATGAAATTCAAAAATTCTTCAAAACAGTTTTCAAATTGTTCATATTTCACGACTTTATAAGGAATTATTCGGCTTGAAGTCCCTAATTTTACAATTCGGCTTGAAGTCCCGTCGGCTTGATGTCCGGCACCCGGTAAAATCTACCAGTCTGATATGCATGGAAGTAAAATTGAGCCGGAACCATAACGAAAATTTATTAGTCGAATGAAGATAACGCGTACGGTGGCCAGTCAATACTCAGAATGGTCTAAGAGCAGAATGGGTCCAAGAGCAGAAAAACATAAAAATATCAGCTTTTATTAGCTAATCTGTAAATAAATGATCAGAATTGTCAATAATACCCAAGCAATGAACATTTTATGCATAATTTGAGTAATTTAATCAAGAACTTTTAAAAAAATGTAATCATAAATCTTTATGAGATTAGACAATTCATGCATAATTTATTCGTTTTCTTGGTAGTTTTTGACAATTCTAATAATTGTTTTATCAATTAGCCGGTATAAACCAATTTAAGTCAATATTTTTCTGCTCTTGGACCCATTCTGCACTTGGACCATTCTGCTTATTGCTCCGCCTCCAACGCGTACGGTGCAATTTTGCTAGATAACTCTTCAATTGATTATTCCATTAAATTTATGAGCTTCCAGAAGAAGGAACAACAAGACAGCTCGTATCACTGTAAGCCTTGAATGTAACGAATGCCTGCATGTGTCTAGAAAAAATTTGGAGTGAAAAAGTTGACAAAAAACTAAAACAAAAAAATGACTTTTTTTTTCAAACTGTGTCGTTTTTTATTCGTGTTGTGATGAAAGTATCTGAGCGAAAAACCAGATATTAGGCAAAGTCAATAGTAGCAAGGATAGCAAGTAGCACAGAATGTACCGATTATAGTATTAAAGAAACAAAATAAGAAAAAATGACTAAGAAACAAAAATAAGAAAAAATGCAGATTTAAATTTTTTTTTCAAATTTTTTTGCAGAAAAATTTCCAAGTTTTTCGAAGTTTTTGGTTTCCAGAATGGAGCTGTCAAACTTGATAAAAATTAAGATTTAAGGGCTTAATTTTTAAATTTCTCCTAATTAAAGTGTTTAAAGCCTGTTCGCTGGCTTTGTTCGCTCGAATTAAGACGAAAAATAAAAATTTCAAACCGGTTTTTTCAACACGGAAATTAAAAAAAATTTTTTTAGTGTGATTCAAATTGTACCTGAATTTGCGAAAAAAATCAAACCCGAAAACAAAGCGGATCTAGGATTTTCTCGAGGGGGGGGCGGATTTTCAAAACCTTTTCGAAAATTTTGTCGACCTTTTTTTTTAGATCGACCGAATTGATTTTTCGAGCTTTCCCTAAGCACGGTTTAGTCCCTGTTTTGGACAAATTTTCTGCGCCGCAGGCAAAATTTTGAAAAAACAGTCCAAAAAAGGCATTTTTTGGCACTTTTTGGAAAATTTTGACCAAAAAATCGCGTTTTTCGAAAAATTTTAGGATCGTTCGGCCAAAAATGGATTTCCTAAAAAGTACCAAAGGGGGACCCTTTGGGTCGGCAGGTGGTCAAATCCCTAGGAGAAGGGGGCGTCCGCCCCTCGCCCTTTCCCCCTAAATCCGCCCCTGATCGACTTGATTGGTCAGATAGCTCACAGAACGATTGAAATAAAGAGTACCTGAACCGAGTTTTGCTTTTACCAATGTTTTCCCAGATATTGCGAAAAAACTGCTGGTGTCAGGGCAAAACCTTGAATATTTCGAGTGCCTTTTAAGATCTATGAATCTTTTTATAGACCTTTGGACATTATAACTTTACGAATGAAAGGACATCAAGAATGGTCTAAGAATCAGTTTTAAGCAAAGAATTTGCATGACCCTATTAGGCTGCCTTAAAAAAGTAGGAAGAAAAGGAAAATAGGAAAAAAAACCAACGAGTTGACAATCGAATTTCTTCATAAAACGGCACGTTTTTTCCAGTTAAAAAATATCAGCAGTTTTGGCACCCAATTTTTAACAAAAACCACAGAAGATGAAACATTTTTAAAGTTTGAAATTGAGACACCATTATCTTTCAGACAGTTAAAATAGCTCGGTAAAAATTTTCTATTAAAAAGTCAAATCTTTTATTTCATTATCTAATTGCTCAATTGATAATTAAAAAAACTGCTCAAAAAATGGTCTGAAAAAAGTAAAAACAGTAATAAAATGAAATGCTCATCTGTGCTTTTTAAAATTTGAAACTGGTTGAGTATCTGATCAATCCAAACTTTCAGAAGCCCAGAGATTTTTTGGACCTCAATAAGTTTAAAAGAGCACTTCCCGTTCGTAAGCAGCCAAGAAGTTATGTTCGAAAAATCATTCCGGAGTTCTTTTTAAACCAAATAAGAAAATTACAATTCACCGCCATTATTCTTATTCAATTGTTTGTTTTTAAATTTTTGAGCTATTCTTCATTTTTATCCCGGGTTGAGGTGTTCGACTCATGATTCGACCGACACGGTCGAACGGGGTCCAATTTTCGTCGCAAATTAAGACGATCAAATGATGACTATAGTCGAACAAAGTCGAATCATGAGTCGAACACGGTGGAATCATGAGTCGAACAGGGTCGAATCATGTGTCGGGTCGAATCATGAGTCGAACAGGGTCGAATCAGGAGTCGAACAGGGTCGAATAGGTTCGAATTATTGTCGAACAGGGTCGAACAGGGTTGAATTTTGACACAAAGACCCAACGCACAAAGTCGCAACATATCTGTACTGTGTCGCGCAAAACCGAGCAAATATTTCGGTCGCACAAAGTCGCAGCATACTCATCATGAGTCGCAATGGTCGCAACATAACTTATTTGGGTCGAGCAAAGCAGCAACATATCTTGTTTGGGTTGCACAAAGTCGCATAAAGTTTCTGCGACTTTGTGCAACCCAAACAAGATATGTTGCTACTTTGACAAAAAAACATACAGACAATGACAGAGTGGCGAAAAAAATTGTACACGAGGAGGACGTTGGTGACGGACCTACATACAGCTGGTTGGCGTGTCGAGGATGCACACAACTAATTTACATAAAACTGATTGAAACCAATTCTGGGACGTGATTTTCTCAAGAAATTAGGATACTGGATGACGCAGGAGCGCTATGACAGCAAGGACACGACGAAGGGTAAGATTATCGAAAGATCTTCGGATGAGTGCGAACTGAGTCATTTTAGCTAACAAATTTAAATGTTTTTTCACTGTTGAGAACAGCAAGTAACTTTCCAGTACGCTCAAATATTTACCGAAATTTTTATGGGAATCAGGCATATAAAAAAAGCCTACTAAAACCCGGATAATAAATTCGTATCTCCAGATGTTTTTAAGTTTATGCGGGATCAATATTTTTGTATCAAACTCTCATTATATTCTACTGTCCTAAGCAATCGATTCGCAAGAATAGCTACCAAAACGCAAACATTGATACAACCAAGAATTGCATTGCTCAATAGACTACTCGGTCCGACAACAATTCACTGTGGTTCTCACTGGCACTAATTATCAAAGAAAATCACTCTAATTTTGGCGCCAATATGTCTGCAACTGCAAAGTAAACAATTTTTTTGGCGCCAAAACGTGTAAGCTGCAAATTTTTTCGCTCAAAATCTTAAAGTGTCACTTAAGATTGTAAACGATCGCCGTTAAATTTTTGATTGCCGCACTTAATATGTTGAAATTTGTTCAAATATTCGGCACTGTTGAACAAAGTTTTCATTTTCGGCACTGTTGTATTTCGGCACTGTTGTACTGCCCCCTCACAGATTGTATTGAATCCAGTGATCAAATTCTACAGCAGCTTCAATATTATAGAGGGAAGGGCCACAGGAACGTATCAGTCCCAGACGGGATACCATGAGCTGACTGACATGCCGGCTATATTTTTGCATACATAAGAGAAAATTCTTTCGGGATTACACGGTACGTACTGCTTGTTGGACAATATTTTTGTAATCACGAACTCTGATCTATAAATTCCGATGTTTGTGATAAGCTCCTTAAAAATCTCACAATTACAACTGGACTAAATTAAAACCAAGTTTCCTTTTTTTTCTCTAAAATTCCTGATTTCAAGGATGATTTGGACAACATAGACTGGGAAATTAAGCAAAAGTTTTTACATAGACCAAAAAAAACTGATCAGAGATATCTTCTATGAAATTACTTATGTTTGGTTTTAAAAACTTGCCAGTTTTTCCCGGGTCTTAAAATGCCAGTTTTCAACATCTGGACTAAGTTTTTCAAACTGCGTGAAATTGTAAGAAAAACAGCTGAACTTAGCAAAATTGCCACACTGAAAAATTCAATAATATCGCTTAGATTGTTTCAAATCTCACTAACATCTTTTTCCTCTAAAAGCTAGTGCAGATGGTGAAAAATGGCATCTTCGGACACAGAAAAACTGGAAAAATCTTTAAAACCAATATAAATGACTACATAGAGGGGAGCTATGATCATTTGCGAAATATTTTAAATTTTCAGTAAATGTTGTCCAAAATCATCCTTTAAAACTGGCATTTTAGAAAGAAAAACCTGAATTTGCTCTTAGTTTTGAACACTAGTGTACATTTGTGTAATGTAGATAATCGA